AGCAAATTAAAGAAAACCTAAGCTACGAGATGTGCGACGAGATGGCTACGGGGTGCAAAGAGGGAAAAATATACACAAGATGGAGACGTAAAGGATTAACTGATTACATTCGATGAGAAATGAGTAAAAAAGAAATAAGAATAAAACTCGCAGCCCCTTTAAAAATGTTCACGATAAAAAGAAATGAATGAAATGATCGACAGCTTTGACATAAAACAAACATAAACCCAGCATACGTGTCATGTCAGTGATGGAGACAGAGGGTCCCTCCGTTTCTTGTGTTTGCGCGTGAACGCTGATCTGGTATTGGCTACTAGGAGTGAGGTCGTAAAAGCAGTGTCGGGAAGCTCCACCTCCCAGCCTCACTTCCTGTCTCTGACCATCTGCAAGGCAACAAGAAATAAAAGAGCTGATTTAGAGTGATTAAAATTCACAATAAAAGTCATGCACGCCAAACAGACTGAAATCGCTTGAAGATCCTTTTTAGATGAACTTTTCCAAAAGACACACCTTCATTTTCCTCTGTGTTCTTAATGAAAATCAAAGATAATATTAATAATGCATTTTCTAGCAGATTAGGTTAAATATAATCAGATTTGAGTCCGGTTTAAGGCTCTGATGAAGCTTCATGTTTTGTTGACTTTACAGAATTAACTGTGATGCATCAAAATGATTCATTCTCAGGCATCTTTTTCATGATGAAAGCACAACACACACACACACACACAGGTTGAGAATCCGCCACACGTGCCGCTTTCACTTCACCAAAAAGGTAAGCGAGAAAGTTTTCAAAAAGTGTGGGAAAACATCTTAAATCAACTGAAAATCAAAATAAATCACGTTATTGAGCTCTTTTGCCTTCTCTTGACAATTTCCCCTGGATTGCAGACTACAAACACGTACTTTGTAGTGTCTGTTTTGACGAGCTGCAGAGCGAGAGGATCACAGAGAAGAAAACACATGAGAATTTATGTTGGCCGCCTAAAAGGTACAAACTGGAAACTCGCGTATACAGTACACACTCTAATGGCTGCCATTTGTCAGTTTCATTTAGTCTAATTTTATTTCCTAATGTGTCTCTCATCTTGGAGGTTGACAAATTAGCTCCTCCTCCACGCAGGAAGCAGCCATAGATAATAAAGTTTAGGGAAACAGCTGTCACCGAGGCTCCACGCGTTTCCATCCGAGAAGGTGTTTAAGCAGCTGGCTGGCTCTGCGTGGATTAAAGCAAATCTCTAAACTTTCGACTTCCACATCCCACCGCTGCTCAGGCAGGAGAGGGAGAGAGAGACAAAGACAAATCGAAAAGTTTGCGAGGAAGACGGGAGAGAAATCTCCCTCCTTCCTGCTGTCTTCTTCGCTCGAAAGGCAATGAAATGCGCGCACAAATCACACGGCGAATTTGTTCGTGTCTCTAATACATTTATCAGCCGACGCTAGCTTCCAATTTAGTTTAATCAACAGCAACCACGAACCTGAACGCTGTCGGAAAAATCTATTTTAAAGCAGAGCCAAGATCTGATATACATACACAGTGCATTCCTGTTATTCAGTTTCATTTTAATAAAGCTGCATTCAATTTTGTTGCTTTGGTGTTGTGCACACTGCCTCGCTTGCACACCAAAGCAAATCAGGATCATTGGTAATGGTATTAGTCACACCTGCGGTTTCTTTCCCATGGCAAATCAAATGGGTGGAACCCAGAGCTCATTTACCAACTACGAATCTCACTGAACGGCAATCAAGGAATAAATGACAGGATATTTTCAGGCTTAATGTAAACCCATGAAGCACATACTGTAGTCCAACCTGCCTGCTACAATATGTTTTGATTTTTATGCTCACTTTCACACTATTGCACTGCACTGATATTTCAAAAATAACTCAATAATTCAGGCATTACTTGCCTACACTAACAAATTATTTTGCGGATGACCACAAATCTATACAGCAATTTCTACATGATAGCCATCTCTGAAAAATATCAGGAGGGCTTTAGATTTTATATGAACTTGTGCTGCCCAGCTGATAGCCCTCTGAGGACAAATAAAAATAAAGCTCCGACTTGAAATTGTTCACTGTGATAGGATGATTTCCAAACTTCTCGGTCAACACAACGTGGGATTTATATTTTTGTCATCTGATTCAGTGGGAAAGAGCAAACTATCACAAAGCTGGGGTTAAACACAGCTTATTCCTTGGCTGATTCTATTAAACTAAAACATATTTTTCCACTTTCTCCTTTTTGTGCGCCCTCCTCCCTTTGCTTCAACCCCTTTTCTTCCTCCGGCTCTCTTTTTCCGTTGATTAATAAGGTGATCTGTGTATTAAACAGCGTCTAAAGGTCACATTCTGTGTCTTTCCTGGTCTCATTTCTGCTGCGATGACATGCGCGATTCTCAAAGCAGTTTCCTCCCATGTCATTTATCGAGCATATCATATCTCCCCTTCCCTTCTGCAAGATTTATGATGATCCCTCACAGCAGAAACCAGTGCCATGTGAGAATGAAACAAATATATATAACACTTATTTCCCCAGTTGCTCATAACAATATAAATCAACATGAATGTGAAAGGTACCCGTAACCAGTACACGTGTCCTGAGCTGACTGGTCTTTGTGTTAATAATAAACAGAGGAGACATTTTCACGAGGATACTGCAAACCTTTGAGGACACACATTCAAAAGGTCGGAGCCTGAATCCAGCCGCATCACCGCATTACACAACTCTAGTAAAGAGTTTGATTTACTGACTGAACTGTATTCCAGATACTTAACTGGCAAAAATATTGTTTCTCACATGTTGGGACAACTGGGGGGTGCACAGTAAAAATGTACGTATTGACTGTGTGTCTCTGCAGAGAACTCCTGCTTGTTTCTGGAATGAAGTTTTACTACAGCAAAGGTGAGGTGGGGTTCAGACCATATTTCAGCAAGGTGGTGAATTTATAAGTTCACAGCTGGCAGGACAGAGTGAGCAGCTTGTAACAGGTCAAATTACCAATGGACTAAATTAAAAAAATTACACTTTTCACAGATACAAATATATGCCAGTATACAATATAATTAGGTCTCAGTCACACAGGTCTGGAGACGAGTCGGCAACCATCCGATTGCATGATGTTGCTGGCTGCTGCTGTTAAGTCATCCCATTCCAACACGTTCCCATCCCAAAACGTAACGTACGACGCTATGTGACAAATCCTCAGTATGTTACGCTCTCGGAAACATGAGAACAGTTTGGAATTAATCTACACATGTATATTTATTTTACTTCCTCATCATTAATCACTTTGGAAAACACTATCTAAGCCGATTAAGATTGTGGTTAAGGTTAGGATTAAGGTTAGGGCTGGAATACACGGCTGGAATGTGTGTTACCGCCGGGAGCGTCATTCTATTGGACTCCATCCGCAATTTGGCGCGTACCATAGGGATGCAGAAGGTTACCTTTCTCGTTCCTGTGGGACGCCTCAGGACGCAACTAATCGTCGGTATGTTACGTGTTGGGATGAGAACGGTCTCCCCATTCATGTAATCTTAGAGCCTGGTTAGAGTGTAAGAGACTGACTTGTCAGCAAACACTTGCAAACCACTTGCCAAGTGGTACTGAACTGGTCACCTTGAAATAAAAGTTGCACCTTTTGAAATCTGTTGATTTCAAAGGAAGGCACCTTCCTAAGTCAATCAACTTTAACTTTGAATGCAACCATTCTCTGTCTCCAGTTTGCAAGGCATTCAGAGAGTAAATGGCGAGTGTTTGTAGACATGTGCAAACACTTGCAAACCACACAGCAATCTGCTAACAAGCAAAGCAAACACAGGGAAAGTTTTTGGTGCAGCACCCTCAGCTAGCAACCACTCGCTAACTGGGTGGAGAATACACATTCTTCCCTAGTGAATGGAGGTTGCCAGAGGGTTGTTGACAGGTCTTAAGAGTAAAAGTACTTACTGAGTGTGGACTGTATAGAGATTCTGTATATTGTAGCATGTAGAAGAGGCTGCCACTGAACACACATGCTGTTGGGTCGCACCTGGTAGGCTGACAAGCCAGACACACCAAGGAATACTAGAGAGAAACAAAGAGTTGTAGAGATGACAGAAAGGTCAGATTAACCTCTAGTTTTCAATTTCCAATACACTCACTAATATGCATTTCATAATGTCTCTTTCTCTCTCTCTCTCCGACACGCACGCACGCACGCACACACACTATTACTTCCTGCTGTCCCCAGCCCTTCCACGCACCAGCCAATCAAGAGTTTAAGTAGGAGAAATTTTGAAGTCCCCAAACAGAAAGCTCTTTTGCAAAGCACTTTAAGGGAAATGTAAACAGTTATTAGTGTTTCGGACTAAATAAATTGTCTGGATTATGTATGAAACAGAAAAGTGGTCAGAACATTAACAGTGCACCAAGAGTAAATAGTCTAAAACTTTCAGCTGGGTAGATGTTAAAATAAATCATTAAGTAACAAAATTAGTCAGCGTCGATGTGTCTTGTGGGGGAACAAGAGACATTATGCAGTGAAATGCAAAACAGCTGAGCAGTTTTAATAGCTGAAACTTGTTTGGTAGTGATATTTGAGTGTACCACAGGCAAGCAAACCTCCCTGGAGTCACTCTCTCTTCTGTTTTCCTCTCTCTCCCTCTCTCGCTCACTCTTGTTCTTTCCTCCTTGTTAACAGAATTTGCTGATGATATAAAATAAACTCGGCTCTTGTGCCAGTAAATGGATATTTTATGCCGGGACCATATGGCAGGTGCCTTATTTTAAATACTTTTGAATAATGCATAGGGCAACCCATCATTTCTATTAATAATATGCAAAGATGCACATAAACTTACTCTCATACATACAAACATGCAACATTCACGGGCACTGGAAGACGGACACCTACAAGCTGGTGCTGATGCACATGTGGGTGCAGCAGCATGCAGATAAACACTGTGTTAAAATAATGCCTGATTTTGGCTTCCTTTACTACAACTGGATGAAAAAAAAGTCTTTGCACCCAAAGGAAAAGTATATATTTAGTTGATTCAGGATGTTTCTCATCACGCCTTTCTTTTCACACTGGCAAGTTTGAGTCAAACCTCTCTTTTTCTTCTGCAAAACATCACAAAACTCTTCTGCAGTCTTGTGCTAACCTATACGATAAAACCTCCAGCACCCAATTTCAAAATATATTAGGCTTCGTCTGAGGGAAACAAGTTAATTTCATTCACTGGTCCTACGGGTACTAAATTTGTTTTTTATGCTACATGTTAGTATGTGCAAATTACTTATGCAAACATGCCATATAACCTTCTGTTGATGAGGCTGCCATGAATGCAGTGTGCCCGGGGAAATATGACACTATAGCCACCTTATTAAAATGACAAATGATTCAATGCACTTCCCTTTATAAATCAGGGTTCCCCCAGAGAAGACCAAACTACTGGCAATGAATTTAACTAAACACTGTGTAACATCGAGGAAATGCGATACATCTGAAAATGTATCGGCACATTGAGAATTGATTGCATCTAATAGAGAATATGTGTTCTGTTTAATCTTTAGTGATGAGATATTTTCTTGATCCCTGGCCAGCAGTGTAGAAAAACTAATTACAGCATGAAAAACAGTACTAGAAGCATAATGTGGTAGATAGCATGGATCCCAAAAGAGAAACATGTGGATAAAGTTGAAAAACAAAATACATTCATTCTGTTAGTCCTGAAGTCACTGCTAAGAATTTGTTGCCACGCCGGTGTCAGAGTATAAAGTTTATATATGGAAGGTGGTATAATTTACATCTCAGTGCCTCGTGTTTTATCTTTCTCTCTTTGTGAAGGCATCTTTCATTATGAGTGCTTTATATAGACAGGAAGGCGTGAGGGAGTTGTAAGTCATCCTACTGGGGCACAGAGAAAAACAGATGAAGGATGGCACATCACTGCAGCACAAATTAATAAAAAGAAATCAAAAGCAGCCCATTTATTTGCAGGTGATGTGCAACTTGATTAATCACTCGGCTTTACGTGTCTCAGCATTTTGCTTCAGAGGGAAATAGTGTGGTGATGAGCTATCAAAACTACAGTATAAACTTATTTGTATTTATCCCACCACTTGAAATTAGACCTTAAACCTAGAAAACCGCAATAGATTTTGAGAGAGGGATGATAGGGCAGTTTTCTGAAAACTCACATGACTACACAGACACATAAAGAAAAAAAAACTAAACAGACAATATAAATGAAAGCATGCATGCAGTGCTTTTTAACTTTTCTCTCTGTCTCAGCCTCCCACTCTCTTCATCTATTTGTTTTAGATGAGAGAAGCACTAAAGCCTGCATTAGTTCTTACTGCACCTACTGATACCAAATCTATATGCAAAAGAGATTGTTCTCACCGCCTGCAAGGAAAATATTAATATCCATCTGTCTGTTTGCTAAAGTCTCAATGGAAATTAGAGAGTATGATATCAGCAGGTGTTTAATATGCATGTTGTACCTTCCCCACTTTCCTTAAACTACTTTGCTTTTCTGCTGCCGTCTAATTGCCACACAACGTTTTGTGGCAAATTTATAATTAAAAAAATTCCAGCTGGTGGTGACATCCCAATAAAGCTCCTTTATTCACAGGGGGTTGCTGTGGCAACCCCTTGTGCATGTTTGATTTGGTAGATTTTTACACCAGATGCCCTTTCTGACACAACCCCAAAGGGATTTGTGTTTCCTCCCGGGATCAAAACAGACATCTTTCACTTGGTAGGCGAATGAGTAAATCCCCGAAAAATATAATAACTTCCCAAAAGTAAGTCAATGTTTTTTCAATGAAAGTGCAATTTAAAATTATGCTTGCATGCGTTCACAATCTTATGGTAATGAACTGTAACAGCCAAGATACTGTGAGGGATAACGAGTTCCTCGGCATTTACATTTCTGTGCTGTCACTTGCAGGTTTATGAGAAGGACACTTACATGTCTTGGCATTTATTAGCTGTGGCTCACTTTCTCCTGCAGGGTAGGAAGCCTTGACTCGGACACTGTACTCTGTCCCACTTTGTAGATTGACAATAAGCATGGAGTTCACATCTTCATCCACTGTTGTCTCCAATACTGGACCGTGAACTGAGAAGAAGACACATACACACTGGTGTAAAAAGGAAACAAACAATGATAAATGTTTTTGATTTTTTTAAGGCACATGCTACAAACAAGGTAAACACAAAGATATGACTCAGCCGACTCAGGAGGGGAAAGCGGTACTCTACTTGGACTGTGTATAGTGTGGATGTGGGTGGAGCACTGGTGACTTCAACTGAGGACACTGTTGGATGGTGGAAGGAATACTTCAAGGAACTCCTTAATCCCACTGACAAGCGGCGTCTGGAGACAAGGGGGACAGCTGATATATCTCCAGGGGTGAGGTCACTGAGGCAGTTAAACAATTTCTTAGTGGCAAGGCTCCTGGGGTGGACGAGGTTCGCCCTGAGTTCCTGAAGGCTCTGGATGTTGTAGGGCTGTCTTGGTTGACGTGCCTCTGCAATGTTGCTTGGAGATCAGAGAAAGTACTTTTGGATTGGCAGACTGGGCTGGTGGTTCTCATCTTCATGAAAGGGGACCGGAGGGTGTGTCCAACTAAAGGGGGATCACACTCCTCAGCCTGCCCGGGAAAGTCATGGTGCTGAAAACGAGAGTCCGTCCGTCAGTCGAACCTCAGATACCGGAGGAACAAAGCGGTTTTCAGTCGCGAAACACTGGACCGGCTCTTTTAAAGGTTTGCCCAACCAGTCAACGTGCGTTTTGTGGAATTGGAGAAAGCATTCGACTGTGTCCCTGAGGGAGGTGCTTTGGGTGTATGGGGTGTCTGGCTCATTGCTACTGGCAATTCAATCCTTAAACAACCATTGCAGGAGCTTGGTCCTCCATTCCTTTTGGAGCCAGTTTGAGCATTTGACTAGAATGCCTCCTTGGCATCTACTGGGTGAGGTATTCCACTGGGAGGAGGCCCTGGGGGCAGATCTAGGACACGCTGGACAGATTATATGTCTCAGCTGGCCTGGGAACACCTTAATATTCCCCCTGAAAAGCTGGAGGAGCTGGGCAGGGAGAGGGAGCTCTGGGCTTCTCTGCTTAGGCTGCTGCCCCTGCCCGGCCCCAGATAAGTGGAAAAAAAGTGATGGATGGATGGAAGTCAAAACCAACTATTCGAGTATCTTCGAGTAAACTAAGCCTCTAACAGTATAACATTAAAATGACAATAATTCCTTTCTACATTTTAATATAAAATAATGTTTCCCTATATTTCATGTCTCATGAAATATATAAAATGCTTTTAACATGGATTGCATCAAGTCATATAAAACACATTTAAGCCCCTGAATGTTGTTTTGGTTTAACACCATATAAATAAACCTGAATTTAATTATATACACAAACACACGAAGAGATGCCCTCAACTTGACTACTAAAATAAAAACAAAGACATAATAGTAACATTCTGTATTAATGCAGCTTTCCCAGATAACTGCTGCAAAGTGTTTTACAAAATAATAACAACCTTGAACACAGAGATTAAATATTTAAATTAAAAATGAAACAAATATAATAGAATAAATATATAAAAACAGATAAATACAGACAGAGTAGCAATTATCTTTACAGCACACAGCCCACTGGAACAATGTGAAGGGAAATAAGCTGTGTGTTTACATATGTGCTGTGCATTTTAATCATTTGCTAAACTTAGTGTGTTTATACCTATATTAAGTATATGGTAGCTGTATAGCTGCGTGTGTGTAGGAAGGCACACACAGACACTTTTCTTCCCTCCGTGGCTCTTACCGTGAAAACAGCAGCCTGCTGAAAATTATTTCTCTTCAATACAATTTCCTAAAATCAGCAGTCTCTCCTGCTTAAAGCTGGATCCTCAGAGACACAGTAATTGTGTTTAGATGACTAAAAACAGACATGGAAAAGAAAAATGAAAAAAAACCTGTGTTTTGTTTTGGAAAGATGAAACAATTAGAACCAGAGAAGCAGTATGACAGTGAAATGGGCTTTTGATGATGCCTCGAGACAAAAAATAAATAAATGAGTTAGGGTAACGTCTTAATTTAGTGCCAAATGGTGACATTTTCTTTGAACTTCATTTTAAAAGAAAAACTAAGAAGCCACTATCAGGAAAACCAAAACACCTTGAGAGCCTTTTGTTTTGTCAGACATTATTATGTGTCTGTCACAGATTTTTCAGTGTTGGGTCCTTAACAATCAGCTATACACGATATAAACACACACACACACACACACAGGATACTTTCTTAGGTTCCCCTTGGCTAGTACTATGTTTTACTCCCACTTGCCTGTAGAACTGTCTTAATTTCAACAAGATGCTGGAAACGTTCCTCATAGATTTTGGGCTATATTGACATGATCCAAATGTTCTCCCACATTTGGTCTGTTTAATTGAGATGGCCATATTCAAGAAACCAGTGTGAGATAATTTGAGCTTTGTGACAGGGGGCGTTGACCTACTGGAAGCAGGAGTGGTCTTCTGCTGCTGTAGCCCATCCGCCTCAAGGTTTCATGTCTTATGTGTGTGCAGATCAGCAGTTCTGAAAGGCTTAGACCAGCCCATCTGGCACCAAGATTCATGCCATGCCCAAAGTCACTTAAATCATGTTTCTTATGCATTCTGATGCTCAGCTTGAACTTCAGCAGGTCATCTTGATTTTGTCTACATGCCTAAATGCACTGAGTTGTTGCCATGTGATTAGCCATACCTAGCAGAGCCCTGAGTGACTGTATATTCCTTTGCTAGACAAAGGAAGGTGAAAAAGAAGGAATATTTAGATAGAATAATAGTAATAAACAGAATGTATGTGTGCGTGTGTGTGTGTGTGTACCATAGAGGGGCTGGTAGATGATCTTGTAACCCTCAACAGGAGACCGAGGTGGATCCCACGAGACCCTGAGGCGATTGAACCACTCCTCTGACACACGCAGATTTTCAGGAGGCAAGAGCGGCACTGCCAAAAACAAAGCAAAACCAGAACATAGAAGAGCTTCTACGAACTGCAGCTGATATTACTAACACATGCTAAAACTTTAACATAAGAACTAATTCACCTAAGTCATCAGTTATAAAGACAATCAACCCAAAGACTTAAAGCTGAATATCATTTCATGTTTATGATACTAGAGCAAAAAAACTGACTTCCTAAGAATACAGAGATGTTCAACAGTCATGTGAAAAACTTATCTAAATAAAAATGATCAAATTAATGTTTAATTATATCAATCTGAAGCTCAGCCCTTATATTCAGCTTGATAGAACAATTGCTGTCCACTGGGGCAGTTTTTTATGCTTTCAGCACTTGAGAGTTTTTGACTTTACAAGAGACGCTTTTAGGTGTTACAGGTCTAATATCCAGCCTTGACAGGGCTGAGTGTGAGTTGTGCACTTCCACAATTAGAGAAATAACACATTACTTCAGGAACTGATTTAGGGAATAATATTCATCACTGAAAAAAACCCACACAAAATCATCTCGTACTGTACACCAGGCTCTGATGCATAATTCTTCAAGCTAAGTAGATTTTTATTTGCATTACAATGACTTCTAGTGCTCTCATCTAAAAAGAAGACATGTTTTGTCTGACATTTCAATTCTCTGCGCGATGAGGAGACAGCCACTGCCGGCTCATAAGAGGTAATCTAGAGAATAGTTGAGAAAATCAATTAGACCTGAGCAAAATAATTTAATCGTCTCATTAATGAAAGGCGCTGCAGCAATTATGAGTGGCCTTCATTAAGACAATTAGGAATGCATCAGTATTTGTCGTGGCTTTGATTTATAATCTCCTTCAAGAACGTAAATGAACATGAAATTAATGCAATGCAAATGAACGCTCTGCTCACAGCGATGAAATTCATTGTCATTAACTCGCAGTATTCTCCTAAACCGGGAGCTGCATCTTTGTGTCGTGAAAAGGGAGAAACGCAGCATTGACCCCTGTGGTCAATAAGCCAGGGATGTGTGTGTGTGTGTGTGCTTTGCATTTTGTGTGTTTGTTAGCCTTACATGTGGAACCCATGGCAGATGCACCAAGGCCATCTTGTCCATCGCTGTACACCGGAGTGACTGTCACTTTGTAGCTGGTGTCTGATTGTAAAGGCTCGAGCACTGCTCTCCTCTCACCTCCAGAAACTGACATCTACGAT